TCTATCTATCTATCTATCTATCTATCTATCTATCTATCTATCTATCTATCCAAACTTTGCAATCGTTTTTCATATGCTTTAGTCTCCAGGCCTTTAATCGTCTTAATTGCTCTTCTTTGCACTTTTTCCATAGGCTCAGCATCTTTTTTGTAATGTGGTGACCAAAATTGGATGCCGTATTCCAGATGTGGCCTTATTAAGGCTTTATAAAGCGGCACTAATACTTTTTATGTTGATTCTATGCCTCCATTTATACAACAAAGGATTGTATTAGTTTTTTTGGCTGCAGCCACAGACCACTGGCTCATATTTTTGAGCTGGCAGTAAGAATGTGCTTCGTTTTCATAAATTCTTTTTTTAAATAGACTTTTATTGCGTTTTCCACCAGTACAACTCAAATCATAATCATGTTTTCAACAGCATTTTGACATCTACAAATGTTATCTTACAAGTCTTAATACATTTAATACACCTATCAATAACTATTATCTTTGTCAATAATTAATTCTATCTTATATTCCTATATATTTTACATATTTACAAATCACTGTTTTAAGGTCTCTTACAGTTAATCTTCACTTCTTATTTCTTATATTTGTTTGCTATCCATTTATACCATTTGTGCCAGATTGAATAATACCAGGAATCTTCTTTCTGTTTCATTTTTAACGTGAGCATGTTCATTTCAGCACATTCTATTTTTGTTGGACTAATTCCTCACTGGGGGTGTTGGGGATTTTCCACATTTGTGCGAAAGTTATCCTGGCCGCTATTAAGATATGTAAAATTATCTTGCAATCGTTTTTTCATATGCTTTAGTCTCCAGGCCTTTAACCACCCTAGTTGCTCTTCTTTGAACTTTTTCCAAAGGCTCAGCATCTTCTTTGTAATGTGGTAGCCAAAACCGGAAGCCGTATTCCAGATGTGGCCTTACTAAGGCTTTATAAAGCGGTACTTATAATTCATGTGATTTTGATTCTGTGCCTTCATTTATACAACCGAGGATTGTATTAGGTTTTTTGGCTGCTGCCACACACCGCTGGCTCATATTTTTGAGCTGGCTGTAAGAATACGCTTCTTTTTCATAAATTCTCTTATTTGTACTTTTTATTTTTATTTTGCTTTTCCTGGTCTATAGTTCCAAGGACTAAACTTGAAGTCCATCTCTGAGAATCGGGAGGAAAGAAAGGATTGGCCAGGTTATTCCGGGGACCTGTTCTTCCGTGGGAACTTCCATGAAGATCCAAGTCAGGGTACCTTCTCAGGTGAGAGAAGATTCCTTGGAAAGAAGGCATTTTTTTCTCCTGATTCTCTGGGCCCTGTTTTGTGTAATACTAGCCCATATCTTAATAACTATGTTTCTACAAATTCTGCTTATGTCGCTTTTACCTCACAGGGAATGGAAAATCTGCATTCATAGGTTCTTCTGTGTCTAGAGAAGTTGAAGAGCCAGTTGAACCCCGGACTCAGGTAGGGGGAGAAATGTCAGTTAAGATACAAATATCAGTTGGAGGTCTCTTTCAATGGATTCTACGTATGATATTGAGCTCAGGGTCATCTGAATGTTGATGGTACCCCAAAAATCAAAGTCTTTTATGAGCTGCCCCTGCACTCTTCCGAAGGTGCTGGGATTGAGAAGGTTCCACCAGTACATTCTGCTGCAACTGTCCAGATTAGAAGCGGTGACAGACTTAGCTGTGAGAAAAGATGTCTATGGAGATTCTTAGTCATCCAGGTTGTCCCAGAGGTGCTTTTTCAAGAGGCAACTGGACTTTCTGGAAGTGTTGCAAGAAATCAATGGCCTTTTTCTTGGAAGTGTTGGTAGAATCTTTTTTTTTTCAGAGTCTCATACGTAGCTGTGTCCTTTAGAAGATGGTTCACCTGTCCTAGCCTTCGTTAGGGGACACAGTGGCTCAGTGGCTAAAACACTGAGCTTGTCGATCAGAAAGGTTGGCAGCTTGGCGGTTCGAATCCCTAGCACCGTGTAACGGAGTGAGCTCCCGTTACTTGTCCCAGCTTCTGCCAACCTAGCAGTTCGAAAGCATGTAAAAAAATGCAAGTAGAAAAATAGGGACCACTTTGGTGGGAAAGTAACAGCATTCCGTGCGCCTTTGGCGTTTAGTCATGCCGGCCACATGACCATGGAGACGTCTTTGGACAGAGCTGGCTCTTCGGCTTTGTAATGGAGATGAGCACCGCCCCCTAGAGCTGGAAGCAACTAGCACATATGTGCGAGGGGAACCCTTATCTTTACCTTTAGGCTTTGTAGTCATCTATGTTCAGGATGACTGCATTTCCTTTATCAGCTGGCAGGAGGGTGATGTTTGGTTCTCTTCCTAGAGATGTTACTGCTCTCCTTTCTTGAATTGTGAGATTGGAAGCAGGTGTTTTGCCACTGGCGAGGGTTGCATCTACCCTCACCCGTAATTGTTCTGCTTCTGGTTCTGCTAGTTTATTGTTCCTGATGGCTGACTCTGTGGCTGTGAGGAGATCTACAATTGGTAGCTGTTCTGGTGTTACTGAAAAATTCAATCCTTTGGCCAAAGTGTTATTTTCTGTTTGGGTAAGCTCTTTTGTCAGACAGTTTTGTCCCTCATCATCTGGGTTGTTTTTTCTGTTTTGCATGTTTTTACCTGTCTAAGCGGTAGGGTAAAAAAAATTGCCTTTTTGTTGTTCTTTGTTCTTGTTGTGTTGTGTGAGTTGTGCCTTCTTTATAAATTCTATGACCAGAAAGTCCAGTTGCCTCTTGAAAAAACACCTTTGGGACGTTGAGGTAAGGCAGTGATGGCTAATCTTTCCGTCCACACGTGCCATCACCCATAAGGCAATGCACTTGGGCCTCCCCATGCCCCCTGTGCATGCACGCACGACCCCCCTGCATGCGCTGTGCATCTCTATGCATGCGTGTGCAAACCTGTTCACGTGCCACATGTCTCTGTGCATGCGCATGGAAACCCCCCATGCGCATCGCATTACTCTGCATGCAAGCACATCTGCATGCCCCCCCCCGCACATGCACGGCAGTTACCTGATGATCAGCTGGTGGTGGGCAGCGTGTGCACCTGCATAGTGGATCTGCTCTGGGGCAATGGCTTGTATGCTGGCGGAGATGGCTCTACGTGCCACTTCTGGCATGCGTGCCATAGGTTTGCCATCATGTAGGTAAGTTATTTCATTTGACTTTACAGAAGGACACTGAAATTCTTGCGTTAGAGAAGTCCTCAAGTTAAGACTGTAATAGAGTCTGCCCATTGTAGCCATAACAATTGTAAAACAAGTCAGGCATGTAACCACACTGGTGGCGCGATGTTTTCTTTTTAAGCCAATGCACAGTTTTTAAATGAATGTGGAGGTCTTAAGGGTGGACCCATTGTTCGCTGTGAGTGTGGTTTTGCCAAAAACGGAAATAGTAGGTAGTCCTCAACTTACAATCACAATTGAGCCCAAATGTTTATGGCCGTGATGGCGAACCTGTGGCACGCAGAGCCATTTGTGGTGGCACGTGAGCTGCAGGCAAACTTACTGCGCATGTGCGTGCCTCACAGCCGATTTTGGCTGGATTTTTCGGGCTCCCAAAGGCTTGAGGAAGGCTTCTGCAGGCTTCTGCATGCTTTGCAGGCTGAAAACTAGCCCTGTTTTGTCACTTCCTGTATTTTCGGAAAAACCGGAAGTGATGAAATGGGGCTAGTTTTGGGCCAGCAAAGCTTGCAAAAGCCTGCAGAAGCCTTCCTCAAGCCTTTTGGAGGCTGTAAAAGGCCTCAAACAGGCTGAAAGTCAGCTGTGAGACGCAGTGCAGGTAAGGGGGCGGTGGGGGTGGATTGCACGTGCATGCATAGGGGACGTGTGGGGGGGGTGCACATTGCCTTCTGGGTGTTGACATGCGAGCGTGCGAGTGCGCGCACAATTTTTGGCACAGGAGCCCTAAAAGGTTAGCCATCACTGATTATGGAGTTTCTCAGTCATCCAGACCTCGGTTGTCCCAAAGGTGCTTTTTCAAGAGGCAACTGGACTTTCTAGTTTTTCTTTGAAGACGTTTTAGTTCTCATCCAAGAAGTTTCTTCAGCTCTGACTGGATTGTGGGGAAACAGAGGCATTTATATTCCTTGCAGACAGCCGGTCAGTTGCATTCTTTTACAGCAGGAGTGTCAAACTCCTGTCATGTGACGTAACATGAATTTTTCCCTCCTTCGCTAAACTAGGGGTGGGCGTGGCCAGTGCGTGGCTCTCAGGCCACGAATTTGACACTCATGTTTTAAAGAGTTGTTGAGGCCACTGGAGGTTTATCTGCGTCGTCAGGGTCACAAATGGGTGTGGAGCCTTCTTGGAACTGTTGAAAGGATTGTGTTGTAAACTGGAGATAAATGATGTCATATCCAGGGGTTCCGGAGAGCCCCTAAGATTCTGTGCAGTTCTGAGAATCCCCAAATCCCACTCCTGGCTGGCTTGCCCACTCCATCCCTCCCAGAAGTCCCGATGTGGCCTGTTTTGGATGCAGGTAAGTGCAGTGCATGGGTGTAGGCTCAGAGTGGGCAAAAAACTGGCCTTCCGGAAGCTTCCAGAGAGCCTCTGGAGCCCAAGGAGACTGTTTTCGTCCTTCTGGAGGCTCAAGAAAAGCCTCCGGAGCCTCGGGGAGGGTGAAAATGCACCCCCCCCCCGGCGGTGCAGAAGGATGAGTAGGCCACGCCCACCATAGCCACCCCCACTCAGCAACCGGGCAGAGAATCTTTGGCTAAAATTTTTGAAGCCCATCCCTGTTCAAGTAGTTGGTTGTAAGTCAAAGCCTACCCATAAATTTCTCCAGATCTGGATGATTGTGAACGGAAGCCTGACTGAAACAGATCTACAGAATCCATTTCCCCAGATAATTTGCTGCTTCTACCGATGTTACTTCAGTCAAATACTGTGAGCTCTGTCAGTTTTTTTTTTCACATCAGATTTTTTTTTTAACCCCGCAGAAGATTCCTGTTTAACCCACTGCAAATCTTTGCTTTGGGATTCTTGAACCGAAGGGGAGAATTTGCAAATGCAATTGGTTTGCTCATAGTGGTGCGCTGTTTTCTTTTTTCTTTTGGCAGGTTCTTGTCTCTCTAAAGGAGGTGGCTGTGTGTTTCTCCGAGGACGAATGGTCTTGGCTAGATCCTGTTCAGAAAGACCTGTACAGAGATGTCATGCTGGAGAACTCCAGAAATGTGGCCTTTTTGGGTAAGGTCGCCTGTCCTGTCTTTTGATGCTTGGAAGAATTTTTTTACGGATAGATAGAGCCATAAAAAACTTTCTTTTTAAAGTTAACAAACAACCTCACATTGATTTAATGGCACTATATGTAAATGTTGTTTATTACACCGACTGCTGCAAATCCCTCCTTGTTTGGACCTTAAACTCCAGGTAGACTTTGATGACAATTGAGCCTAAAACTTCCATTTCTAAGCAAGTCTGTTATTAAATGAATTTTGCCTCATTTTATGACCTTTCTTGCCACAGTTGCTAAGTGAATCACTGCAGTTAAGTTAGTAAAGCTGGTTGTTAAGTGAACCTGGCTTCCCCATTGACTTTTCTTGTCAGAAAGTCACAAAAGGGGATCCCGTGACCCTCAGACATTGCATCCGTCATAAATACATGCGATCACAGGGATGCTGTAATAGTTGTGTGAAAAACAGTCACAAGTCAGCATCAAGGATGTAGCTGTAGCGGTGATTGACAGTATTAAGTATTTGGGGGTGCAGATAACTAACAATCTGAGCTGGTCTCTCCAGACATCATACTTAGTGAAGCGTGCAAACCAGCGTCTGCATTTCCTGCGTCGGATGAGGAGAGCACGTCTTTCTCCTTTTGTCCTGACCACTTTTTACAGAGGCACGACTGAGAGCATTTTAACACACTGTTTAGTTTGGTGGCAGCAGTGCCTCAGATAGAAAGTTCATACAGAGAGTAGTGAGGACAGTCGAGAAAATTATAGGAAACTCGCTTCCCATTATTCAGGATACTGCTTATAAGCGCTTTGTGCTTAGAGCATCGTTAGAGACCCCACACACCTACTTTATGGTCTGTTTCTGTTGCTCCCCTCTGGGAGGAGGTTTCCATGTATTTCTAGCAGGACTACCAGATTCCATAACAGCTTTGTTCCCTATGCCATCCCGTTTGGTAAACTCACAAGATTTGTTCTCACCATAAACATGTACTGTATTTTTCACGCTATAAGGTGCACCAGACCATACGACGCACCTAGTTTTAGAGGAGGCAAACAAGAAAAAAGGTTTTTGTCCTTCCGAGCATCCTGTTTTTGGCCTGCAGACAGTTTCTGGGGAGGGCGGGGAGGCCAAAAACGGGATGCGCAGAGGTTTCAGGAGGCCAAAAACAGTCTCATATTCGCTCTATAAGACGCACAGACATTTCTACCCATTTTGGGGGAGGGCGAGAAGTGTGTCTGAAAAATACGGTATACATCCAAACCAGATTATAGTTTCTCTGTGTAATATATATGGGTATATGCATAATTTTGTATTTGTTTGTTTATCTTGTCATATGTAGTATAATATTGGAGGTGGTGACCCTTTAAGAACTGTATGCAATGAAATTTCATTTTTAATGTATGCCAATTAGTGTACATTCAAAGTGACAAAGCTATTCTATTCTATTCTACTCTACTCTACTCTACTCTACTCTACTCTACTCTACTCATCACTTTTCAGTGCTGTTGTAACTTCAGATGGTCACTAAACAAATGGTTGTAAGTTGAGGACTGCCGGTTAATACGTGCTTCAAGTCACACAACAAATTAGACCATTTAGCATATAGCTGCTTGCTCCCGTCCTCCCCCTTTTCCACCTCTACAATAAATATTAAAAGCTTCTTTACCAATTCCTTATTTCCTTAAATGGAACTCCATCTGTGAGTAGAATTCCATAAGTAAAACACATTTATTGAATACAACGGAGCAGATGTGCCCCTTTATTTCAACAAATAGATTAAGAAGCTCATAAAATAGAAGTGGGCCACTTTCATGCTGTGTAGTTTTAAAGGTAATCCTCGACTTAGTTCATTTACTGACCAAAGTTACAACGGCACTGAAAAATGTGATTTATGACCCTTTTTCACACTGTCCCAGAGCATCCTCATGGTCATGTGATTTATATCTTCATGGTCATGTATTTGACAACAGACTCAAATTTATTTATTTTTTTGCAGTTTTTTAGTTTTACTATAAGTAGAAAGAGCAAAATTTTCAATATCCATATGAACAGCGTGTTGTCTGGTTATAATTACTTTGAGCAATCTTCATCCTGCCTGTAATAATATTCTTCAGTAATAGTCCTGTAATAATGCTTTCTTATCATAAAATTAATACATATTAATTTTATTTAATTAATACTAATCAAAGTTAATAACAATGTACAGCAATCAGCCCTCATAACGATAATCAGAGTTGGAAGGGACCTTGTAGGTCATCTAGTAATAAATAAATAATAGATAAATAATAAAACTAATCCTTCTCTTGTGGTTTTAAAGGCTCTAACTTCTGTGTCTATTGTTTATCCTTAGATAAAACGAATCCCATATTTCAAAATATTCAGTGTCTTCCTTCTCCTGAATTTCAAGCGTTAATCTATTCATTTCTGCACATTCTAATATCTTTTTTTATTATCTTCTCTTCTGTAGGGATCTCCTCACCCTTCCAATATTGGGCAAATACAATTCTGGCCGCTGTTAACACATGTAATATTAAGTACATATTCCCTTTATCATATTTTTCTGGTATGATGCCCAACAAGAATATTTCTGGTTTAAAATGTATATGTTCCTTTATCATTATTTCTATCCAAGTATGTATTTTTGTCAAATATATTTTTGCCTTTGGGCACGTCCACCACATATGGTAGTACGAGCCTGGAATCTGGCTACACTTCCAACATTCAGTGGACATATCTTTGAACATTTTAGCTAATCTAGCTGGTGGGAAGTGCCATCTATAAAACATTTTATGTAAGCTTTCTTTATATGCAGTAGACATTATTAATTTATAGTTTCTATCCCACAATTTTTGCCATTTATCCAATTCTATAGAGCAGTGGTGGCGAACCTATGCCACTCATGCCAGAAGTGGCACACAGAGTCCGCTCTGTGGGCACGTATCACCGCACCAAGCTGCTTTCTGGCCGACAGCAGACTTCCCATTTACAAAATGGGGGAACAACAATGGACCGCTTGACTGCCATCAACGATCATCTGGACCACATGGCCTGGGCTTAGCAGCTTCTGGACCTCGGCCGCTGCTCCTGGACCTCGGCCGCTGCTCCCAGACTTTGCCCGCTTGCCTGCCATCACCAATCGGGTCCAGCTGTTCCTGCCATCGCCTATCAAGCCCAGCTGCTCCTGCTATCGCTGATCGGGCCCAGCTGCTCCCGGACTTTGCCCGCTTTGCTGTCGTGGATCGCCCAGACCACGTGGCCCAGGCCCAGCTGCTTCCAGATCTCCCCTGCTGCTCCCGGACTTCGCCCACTGCTCCCAGACCTCAACCGCTTGCCTGCCATCACCGATCGGGCCCAGCTGCTCCTGCCGTCACCGATCGGGCCCAGCTGCTCCCGGACCTCACCTGCTTGCCTGCCGTCGCCGAAGTTGCTGTGAGTACAGGGACTGTGTGACTCCCTCCCCCTCGCTTACTTGCTGTTGCTGCTCGCCCAGACCACACTCGGGCTGGCAGAGGTGCGTGGAAACTCTGGAGCCGCTCGAGATCTTCGGGACGATCCATCCAAGGCTTTGCTCCCTGGGGAGGGCTGTGTGAGAGCCAAGCCCAAAAGGCAGCCGAGCCTCACCATCCTCCCATTGCCAACTTGTCTTCCTGGCTCATGTATTTTTGCACAAGGCTTCCCTGCCGTGCCTTGCTCTGGCTGCTTTTCTGAGCGATGCTCCTGCACCGAGAAACCTTCCCTTACCCTCCTTCTCCCTGCATGTGTCGCTAACCCTGCCTTGTTGCTTATACCTCCACTTCATCTTATTTATGCAAATTCCCAATAAGTAGGTCCAACGCATGTACAGTGGAAGTGAATCAAAGGTAGAAAATGCACTCAGATGCCTTTTTCAGAGCAGGCCAAAAGCTGGTGGTCAGTGGAACATTGCCCCCTTGGGCTGGTTGTCAGCAAATTCAAAAGGAATCCCAGCTGAGAATCACTGCCATAGATTGTTGATTCAGGGAATATTCATTTTGTTAGTGTCAGCTACAGATAACTTTTTGCAGGTAATCAGAGTTGGAAGGGACCTTGTAGGTCATCTAGTCCAACCCCCCGCCCAAGCGGGAGACCCTGCACCATTTCTGACAAATGGCAGTCCAATCTCTTCTTGAAAGTCTCAACTGATGGCGCTCCCACAACTTCCGAGGGCAAGCTGTTCCATTGATTGATTGTTCTCACTGTCAGAAAGTTTCTCCTTGTTTCCAGGTTAAATCTCTCCTTGGTCAATTTCCATCCATTATTCCTTGTCTGGCCTACAGGCACTTTAGAAAATAGCTTGACCCCTTCCTCTCTGTGGCAGCCCCTCAAATATTGGAAGACTGCTTTCATGTCTCCCCTGGTCCTTCTCTTTACTAGACTAGCCAAGCCCAGTTCCTGCAACCGTTTGTTGTATGTGTTAGCCTCCAGTCCCCTAATCATCCTGGTTGCTCTTCTCTGTACTATTTCTAGAGTCTCAACATCTTTTTTATAATGTGGTGACCAAAACTGGATGCAGTACTCTAGATGTGGTCTAAGGCTTTGTAGAGTGGTATTAGTACTTCCCTTGATCTTGACTGAATCCCTCTGGTAATACAATTTAGGATTGCATTAGCTTTTTGGCGGCTGCTGCACACTGCTTGCTCATATTTAGCTGGTTGTCCACTAAGACTCCAAGATCCCTGTCACAGTTACTGCTATTGAGCCTGGTTTCACCCAGTCTATATGTGTACTTTTGTTTTTTCTTGCCCAAGTGTAGGACTTTACTTTTCTCTACATTGAATTTCATTTTGTTAGATATGGCCCAATGTTCTAGTCTATCAAGATCCATCTGGATCTTGAGCCTATCTTCTTGAGTGTTAGCTATTCCTGCCAGCTTAGTATCTGCAAATTTGGTAAGTTCCCATTCTATTCCCTCATCTAAGTCGTTAATGAAGATATTGAGGAGTACTGGGCATAAGACGGAACCTTGTGGCACCCCACTGCTTACTTCCCTCCATGTAGACTTAGACCCATTAAGGACTACTCGTTGAGTACAGTTTGCCAGCCAGTTGCGAATCCATCTAGTGGTGGTGCTATCTGTTCCATTTTTTTCTAGCTTACTAAGAAGTAGGTTGTAGTGTACTTTATCGAATGACTTGCTGAAATATAAATATGTTATGTCCACAGTATTTTGCTGGTCTACTAATTTAGTCACTGTGTTGAAGAATGAAATAAGATTGGTTTGGCATGATCTGTTTTTAACAAACCCATGCTGACTGCTAGGTATTACTTTACTAACTAATAGTGTTAACTATTTTTAGTACAGGGATAGATTTGTATTGGATGCTTCATTTTTTAAATTTTTTTTTTGTGTTTTTGTAGACTCCAAGTCTTGAACACCCAAAAGTGAGTGCAGCAAAAAAGGCAAGAACAGATAGTGGAAGATCATTCCGAGAGGCCTGGACAGAGTCATTTGGAATGATTGAACACAATGGGAAAGCATTATGTACTTTGTGTAATGAAAGTGTTGTATGTCGCACATCAAGTGTGAGACGGCACTTTAACACCAAACACAAAAATGTTGCTGAACTTGCTGCAACTGAAAGAAAAGAATTTCTTGAAGAGAAATGGAGGAAATATCATTCCCAGTCTCTTAGTGTTTCCAACTATCTTTCTAGAACAAATCATCTGACAGCTGCCAGTTTTCAAATTTCACTGTGCATAGCAAAACATGGTAAGCCCCTCTCAGATGGAGATACTATCAAAACGGCCATGTTGTCTGAGTGTAGTTCTCTTTTTCATGATTTCCCAAACAGGAATAAAATTATTCAACACATCTCTGAGATGCCACTGAGCAGAAATACTGTTAAAGATCGAGTCCAGCGCATGGCAAGTGATGTTAGTCAGCAGCTAACCAGTGACTTAAAAAAGGCAGCCTGTTATTCCATGTGCTTGGATGAAAGCACAGATATAAATAATCATGCAAGGCTAGCCATTATTTTGCGTTATGCTGTTGGTGACATCATCAGAGAAGAGCTGGTGAAACTGGTGTCTTTGTCCGAAGGAACACAAGGGATAGATATCTACAATGCTGTGATGGAGGCTTTTTTGTCACAAGACATAAGACCAGAAAAAGTGGTTTCAATTAGTAGTGATGGGTCACCTTCTATGGTGGGGGCAACCTCTGGTTTTACACAGTTCTTTGTTAAAGAAATAAAACATCAAGTCGTTCAGTTCCATTGTATTATACATCAAGAAGCTCTTTGTGCCAGGGAAAGCAGCAAAAAATTTGATGATGTCCTCAAAGATGTCACAAAAATGGTGAATTACATCATGGCTCGTGCACTGAATTTTGAACAGTTTAAAGCACTTCTTGAGGAGGTCCAGGCGCAGTATAATTGTTTACTTATGTACAGTAACGTCCGATGGCTGAGCAGAGGACGAGTCCTGGAGAGATTTGTAGCCTGCTTGGATGAAATTAGGCTGTTTATGAATGATAAAGGGCAGAAATATCCACAGCTCACTGATATGGCCTGGCTTACCAACCTCATGTTTTTTACAGATTTTACAGCACACTTCAATGTACTGTACAAACAACTACAAGGTGTAGGAAAAACAGCAGAAATGACATTTTGTGATATTAAAACATTTGAGAGAAAACTGCAGGTTTTTGAAAGAGACCTTAAAAGTGGGCAGCTGAAATATTTTCCAAATCTAAAAATGCATTTAGAAAATGCTTCAACATTTGCAGACAATCCTACAAGCCATCAGAAAATCTACAAGGAATTTTCTAGCATTGTAGCAGCTGCAAAGGTGAACTTTAATAACAGATTTTTACAGTTCCGTAAGATGGAGACAACCCTATATTTTCTTACTTCTCCAGATAAAGCCAAATTTGAAGAACTTGATCTTTCCTGCTTACGCTGGTTAGATTTAGAAAATCTGGAAATGGAGCTATTGGAATTTCAAGAAAACTCCATGTGGAAAAATAAATTCTGTGACCTGCGTGAAACCCTTGAGAAGATGGAAAGGATGACAAAGGACAGCATAGTTAATTCTGACACAGTTAGTTGTGAAAATGAAATCCTTAAAGTGTGGAATTCTCTGCCAAATAATTTTAAGTCAATGAAAGTACTTGGGATTGCTTTCCTTACATTGTTTGGATCATCTTATGCCTGTGAGCAGGTGTTTTTAGCTTTGAATTATGTCAAACCTGACAGCAGAAGCAAACTAACAGATGACCTGAGTGCTGCATATGTTGCTCTCAAACTTACAAAGTATGAGCCAAGGTTAGAAAAATTATTAGCATGCATACAACAGCAAAAGTCACATTAATCAAAAGCATGCCAAATGCAAACGTACCTTTCAATAAAAAGTTTTTTGTATCATTGAAAGTTCTGTTACCGTGTTTTTTTAAAAACATAAGATGTTAATCTTATGAGTTGTTTTTTCTAAACTAAAACCTCAACAATCAGGTTAAATTGCCATGTTGGCACTTTGCGATAAATAAGTGGGTTTTGGGTTGCAGTTTGGGCACCAGGTCTCTAAAAGATTCACCATCAATGCTATAGAGTAACCAAAATTTTTAGCCCACACAATCATTTTTTCCTTTACTTGCTCTTCTTCCATTCTAATACTCAGCAAATAGGTATAATTTTTAAAAGTTAATTTCTCTTCATTTCCTGTTAGGATCTGGTCCAATTCTGTTGGGTCTTTATAAAAAAACATATTTTAGCATCTTTTAAAATATCTTAATTGTATTTGTAAATGCAGCCACCATGCTAAATCTATCCCTTCTCTATTCAATTCCTGTTTGTTTTTCAGTTCCCCTTTCTCATTCAAGATACCTTTATCTATATATATAAAAGCGAAATACCACTCACACATCATCACAAAATCTCCAGAACTGTAAAGTCTACAAACTTGAAATTTGGCATATATGTTCGTCTTGGCTTCTAAGTGCTCACTAAGAAATGATTTTTCGAAATGGCCATCAGAGCATTAGTACTTCGTATGTTATTATTAACACTTTGATACTACTCCCCCTCCCCACCTGAAAAGAAATCTGCTCCAAATGCAAAACAGGAGGAGAGGAGTTTGTTTCAGTTTCACAGCACCAAGCAGCTTTAGTACAGTACAGTTGAGCTAAGCCACGCCCAAGCTTCTTGCTGTCTCCTTGCTCACACAGCAGATACTGTTTCAGTTTCTAAACAGCCCTAAACTCCACACACTGACAGTATGCTAGCCAGATGAATACCGATGGATGAATAGGAAGAGGCACAATTTTTTTCTTCCTTATTTTTCTCCCCCAAAAACTTGCCTGATCACATAGTTTCCCAGAGAAGCACAAGTATACCCTGCTAGTATCTTATAATTTTTCCCATATCAATCAAGTTTGGATGTATCAATGCATCTATCATGGAGGCAGGTGTTTTCAAATAGTGTTTTCCTTAATTTGGTTTATTTTTCCTTTATTTGGTTTATTTCCTTGGAAATATTTGTGTATTAAATATAAAGCACTATGGGGTGGTATATAAATCTAAGTGCTGTGCATCTATGGAGATTCTCAGTCATCCTGGTCATGATTGTCCAAAAAGATGCTTTTTTTCAAGAAGCAAACGGACTTCCTTGTTTTTGTCTGAAGATGTTTGACTTCTCATCCAAGAAGCTTGAACATAATGGGACTTACTCCCAAGCAAACATAGAATTGTCCTGTATGTTATTAACAGACTAGCTCTTATACCCATGCTTCCCTACGAAACTATGTGATCAGGCTTAGTGTTTGGGGAGGAAAATAAGGGGAAAAAATGTGCCCCTGCCTACAAGCATCCATCGGTATTCATCTGGCTAGTATCCTGTTAGTGTGTTGAGACAGTTGAGTGCTGTTTGGAAACGGAAACAATATTTGCTGTGAGCAAGGAGACAGAAAGGAGCCTGGGCACGCCTTAGCTCAACTGTTCTGTACTAAAGCTGCTTGGTGCTGTGAAACTGAAACCGAAATTCGTCTCTGCTTGTGTTTTGCATTTGGAACAGGTTTCTTTTCAGGTGGGGAGGGGGAATAGAACTCCTTAGCATCAGAGTGTGTTAATAATAATAATAATATACGAAATACTAATGCTCTGATGGGTCATTTCAAAAAATCCTTTCTTAGTGAGCCCCTGGTAGCCAAGAGGAACATAGGTGCCAAATTTCAAGTTTGTAGGCTTTACGGTTCTGGAGATTTTATGATGATGCATGAGGGGTATTTTGCTTTTATACAGAGAGATTAACGGAGTTGTAAAGGACCTTGTAGGTCATTTAGTGCAAACCGCCCCCCCTCCCCCGCCCAAGCAGGAGAAGTGAAGAGCTGCTTCAGGTCTGAAGTGCTATGAGTTGCCTATGTTCAGCAAGCGGCGTCCGTGGGCGCCCGGTTGAAGGACGTATAAAAGTGAACCCCCCTTCGCGGAGTCAGGGAAAAGGCGCGGGCGGCGAAGCCCCGCCTCTGGGGAGGAGGGTCCTCTGAGGGAGGGCGGGGCCAGCAGTTGCCATCAAGCTGCGGACATCCCATCGAAGGGGTTGGACTGCGGTACGGGAGGGGGGCGCAGGGGTCGGGGTCAGACAGGCGATGGCGGCGCCGGACATCTCCCCGGAGCAGCTGGCGCGCAGGCTGGCTGAAGCCGAGACGCTGCTGGCGGCGCGCGTCTCCGAGCCGGTCCAGGCCCGCTGGCGCTGGGCGGTGAAGCTGGACGAGCCGCCGGACCTGGAGCGCTTCTGCGCGCAGCTGAGCCAAGCCCGGCGTGGCCGGGAGGCTCTGCTAGCCCGGGACGCGGCGCTATCGGAAGCTGAGCAGGAGCGACTACAGGGACTGCTGCGGCTGGAGATGGCTCTCTTGCGCGGCATCCAAGCGCTGGCCGAGGACGCGGGGCCGGCCCCGGCTACGACGGGAAGGAGGCGCGGGAGGAAGCCCGGCGGGGCGTCGCTGCGGGCGGCTCTGCTGGGACTGGCGGCGGAGCTGGAGGCAGAGGAGGGACCGGGCCTGCCCGGGGATGCCGCGCTCGCTCTGCAGCTCGCCCTGGAGGCGCTACTGGAAAAGCGGCCTCGGGAGGCTGTCCGAGCGCTGCAGCGGGAAGAAGGGCGCGCCCGGCCGAAGCTGCTGCTGGCTCTGATCCAGGCCCTGCAGGAGGAAGGCTGGGCCGAGCGAGGGGACGAGCTGCCCCTGCAGGAGCTGCGCCCGCTGCTGGAGAAAGCGTTGGGCCTGGTGTGCAAGGAGCGGAGTTGGCCGGCTGGTGACCTGAAAAAGCCTCTTTGGATAGGCCCGCTGGAGGAGGAGGAGGAGGATGCTCAGAATGGGACCTTGCCAGAAGTCTCTTTGGAGGGGTCAGGACTGGGGCGCAGGTCCCCCCAAGAGTTGCCCGTAGAGAGCTCCCCAAAAGACCCTCACCAGGATCATCTTGCGCCAGGAAAGATTGTGCCCGCTGACCTAAAGCCTCACCTTCCAAACGAGGCTGCATGCGGACTTCAGGTGGAGATGGATGCTCCCTTTTTGAAGGATGCTCCCGGGAGGAAAACGGAAGACCTTCTGAATGTTCTCCGGGAAACAACCAGCAGGAAGATGGGCATGCTGCCATCCAGCTTGTGGGACCAGGGCCCCCGGAAAGCGTGCAGCCACCTCCACCAGCTTTGCCGCCAGTGGCTTCAGCCCGAAAAGAACACAAAGGGGCAGATGCTGGATCTAGTGATCCTGGAGCAATTCCTGGCTATTCTGCCCTCAGAGATGGAGAGCTGGATCCGGGAGTGTGGAGCAGAGACCACTTCTCAGGCGGTGGCCCTGGCTGAAGCTTTCCTCCTGAGCCAGAGGGAGGAAAAGAAGGAAAAGGTAGAAGTTCAGGTGAGATACCTTCAGCTGGTAAGCTTAAAGGGGGACTCAAAGAATAACCGTAGGTTAGGACTCTTAACAGTTTTACCTAATAATGTTTTGAAGATGCTAAGGAAAGATGTTTACGGCAAATTGTTCCATTGAGCAGACTGCGAGAATCTGCTTTTACTTTCTTCCATAAATTCTGTTAATTGCACTTCTTTGCTTCTCCAGGCCCTTCATTTCCAGAGGCCTGACTTGAAGTCCATCTCTGTGAACGCCGAGGAAAGGAGGGATTTTCCAGATCCTTCCCGGGAGTTGGTCTTCAGTGGGATCTTCCACAAAGATCAAAGTCAAGACACCTTCTACGGTAAGAGAGCATTCTTTGGGGAGAAAGCTGTTGTACTTGGATCTCCTTTGCATCCCTTTGTTAGTAATGATGTTTCTTAAAATTCTGCTTTTGACATTTTTACTCACAGAGAATGGAAAGTCCGCATTCATAGGTTCTTCTCCTTTTTCTGATGGGGTTGAAAAAACAGTTGAACCTCTAACTCAGGTATTGTTTATTTTATTTTTATTTACTGGATTTGTGTGCTGCCCAGTTCATCTAGGGGTAGGAGAAGAAATGTCAGGGAAGATAGGTTACAGATAATCCTCAACTTACGATCACAATTGAGCCCAAAATTTATGTTGCTTAGTGAAATATTTGGTAAGTGAGGTGGCCTCATTTTATGACTTTTTTCTCACAGTTAAGTGAATCATTACATTTGTTAGTAACATGGTTGTTCAGTGAATCTGCATTCCCCATTGAGTTTGCTTGTCAGAAAGTCGCAAAAGCTGATCACATGACCCAGGGACTCTGCAATTGTCATAAATATGAACCAGTTGCCAAGCAGCTGAATTTTGATCATGTGACTATGGGGATGCAGCAACAATCATAAGTGTGATAAACCGTCATAAGTCCGTTTTTTTTCAGTGCCATTATAACTTTGAATGGTCACTAAATGAACTGTTGTAAGTTGAGGACAACTTGTATTATGCGGTCTCTTGTTATAGGCTCTGTATATAATACTGTATATTGTTTATAGCAATATAAAATGGGGGCTCAGCTTCAGTAATGCTTAACTCTCCTCTCAAAACTGCTTTGGATCTGACAAGTCAAAATTGGATTGAGTGTCATCCAAATATTGAATGGACTTCACAAATCTAATCTTTCAATGAGCCCACTGTACACTCTTGGGAAAGTGTGTGTATATGAGGGAGCAGGACTGATCCCTCAAGAGACCCCTCAGTCCATCGGCTAACATGTTAAGAAGATCCCAGCAATGCATGGTTCTGCAACTGGCTGGCAAGACGCAAACCGGTGATATGTCTATCTATGAATTGATCTAGAAAGATACTTTGGTTCATTCACTGAAGGGCCATAAAAGTTGTGCAAGCATGGTTTATTTGATTCGGTGACCATTTCCAACCAATGCTTCTGAGAGACCAATAAATAACACTATTTAATTGTAGCTTGCGCTATTTTAATGGTTAAAATTGAACCAGTTGGCTTATACAAAGGGAGACAGGTGTTCCCTAAATATCTGGGACCTTTGGTATAAAGTGCTTTATAGGTTACAATAATTCAATTCAAATTTATTACCCCCACCCACCCCAGATAAAGCAGTTCTGAATCATACCAAGAACCAGTTCTGCATTTTGAACCAGTTAAAGCTTCCAGATAGTCTTGAAGAGCAGCCTCAAGAAAAGTGCATGAGTGACTGAAGATCCTCCCAGTCTAGGAAAGGATGCAAATAGCATACAAAGTTTTTACAAAGTCCTTTCTGGTCATGGAGGAAGTCACCTCAGGTTGTACACCAATCTTGAAAAGAGATGTGCTACCTTATCCAAGATCAGAGATGAAATATCTCCAGATCTGAGTGGCTATGAACCTAAGCAGATCTAATCTGTTTCCTCAGATAATGTGCTTTGTCCACAACTGTTACTACATTGGTTAAATGCTGTGAACTCTGCTTTTTTTTTACATCAAGTTTTTAACCCTGCAGAGCATGTCCCAAAGGTGCCTTTTAAAAGGTGACTGGACTTTGATTTTTTTTCTTTCCTTGAAGATGTTTCACTTCTCATCCAAGAAAGTTCTTCAGCTCAGTTATTCACCCAACTTCTTGGATGAGAAGCCAAATGTCTTGGGGAGGGGTGGGGGAGTCCAGTTGACTTTTGAAAAAAGCACCTTTGGGGACAACCATGACTGAGAATCTCCATAGACATCCTGTGGAGTATGCCTATTTAACCTATTGCAAGTTTTGGGGGATTCTAGAAACCAAAGACAGAATTTATGACATTTGGGGGGAGGATGTAAGTTAATAACTGCATCTATGGGAGCATGTGCCTGGTTTTTAAGTCAATTGCAATGATCATAAATGTCATTGTTTGTTATGGATGCAGTTTTGTCGAAAACTGAAATAAGTACTGGTTTGGGGTGAAACCATTATAAATCATGATCACATGTCTGCTGGATGTGCTGCAAATGGCAGTAAATGCAGCCATGCTGCTCTGGGCCTGAAGTATAGTCATGTAACCATGTGGTGGTGGAGGCGTGAGCATCGGAACTTTAAATGCGGGTCATAGGTCCCCTTTTTCAAATAGGTTGAAATATCTCCAGAGCTGGATGATTACAAACTGAAGCTTAAAGACTCCTCAGATAATCTGCTTCATCCAAAAATCTTATTTCAGTCAAATGCTGTGAACAAGACAGCTTTTTTCACATCAGATTTTTACCCCTGCAGAAGGTGTCTGTTTAACCCACTGCAAATCTTTTTGCTTTGGGATTCTCGAATCAGATGGAGAGAATTTTGAAAATAAAATTTGGATGCTCATAGGGATATATGCCTATTTGCAGGTTCTTGTCTCTTTAGCGGAGGTGGCTGTGTGTTTCTCTGAGGAGGAATGGTCTCAGCTAGATCCTGTTCAGAAAGACCTGCACAGAGAAGTCATGCTGGAGAACTCCAGAAATGTGGCCTTTTTGGGTAAGGCCCCCTGCCCTGCCCTGCCCTCAGATGCTTAGAAGAAATACTTTGTGAATAAATAGAGCCAGCTATGTTTTCTCTTTTAAAGGTTCATAAAATGATCTTACCTGGCTAGGAAAAGGAGGGGTGCTGTCATTTTACAGTTAAAAAATCCATTTAATGACACTAGATGTAACTGTTGTTGCTACGTTGACTCCTATTTCTGTACCCCAAATTCCTCCCTCTTTTCACTATATACTTGTTCTTTTCCCAGTTAATAGCAAGAATTTCAAGATAAGCAAAAAATTAGATGTAGTTAGTACAACTCCTTGCTCCCATCCTCCCACTTCTCCATCTCTGCAATAAATATTACAAGCTTCTTCTCCCTGATTCCTCACTTTCTTAAATTGAATTCCAGCTGTGAGTAGAATTCCCTAAATAAAATTAATTTATTGAGTAAAATGTTTAACAGTGTAAACGTGCTTTTTTATTTAAATAAGTGGATTTTGTGACAGTTTAAGAAACTTATAAATAAGTATTCTATTATTATATTGTACAGTTTTCTTCATATTATTGTTATAACAAGCTGTCACTCAAAGTCCAACTTTTGTAAGGCTTTGATCAGAGTATTTAATGTTAGTCAGCAGAACACCTTTCAAAACAGTGGAGAGAATCCTTGGCAGATTTTCACTAGGAAATTTACACTTACCTTCTGTGCTATGAATTATTAGTTTGTTTCCTCTACCTTGCCTCAATTTTCATTCATTCTTTTTCTCTTAAGGAAATAATGTTCAAGAGAACAAGGAAATCTTCCAAACATTCAGGGATGAAGAGAGAAGAAAGGAGTTTTCATGCTCAATGGAAACAACAGAAAACGAAAGAAATCTGTCAAACAGGAGTAAAAGGAGCTTAACTTTCCCATCCATTGAAGTTCAAGGAGATCAGAAAGGTAATCCAATTGTGGAAAATGTGGAAACATTTGAAGAGAGCTTAGATCTATATGAACATTACACAATTCACATTAAAGAAGAGGATCTAGGCGAAGAGGTTGAAAAAAGCTACGATTGGACTTCTAGCATTTCTTTATGTGGAGAAGCCAAAATGAGAAATAAAACATATAAAAGTACAGAGAATGGAAAGTATTTGAGTGGGAGCAGTTCTCTTATTCCTAGTGAAAGGACTGACTCAGGGGAAAAACCGTATAAATGTGTGGAATGTGGAAAGAGTTTCAGCCAGCGTGGTAATCTCAATTCCCATAAAAAAATCCACACAGAAGAGAAACCTTATAAATGTGACGAGTGTGGAAAGAGCTTTACTCAGAAAGTCAATCTTAATTCCCATAAAATGATTCACACAGGGGAGAAACCATATAAGTGTGAAGAGTGTGGAAAGAGCTTTACCCAAAATATTCAATTGACTTCACATCAGAGAATCCATACAGGGGAAAAGCCATATACATGCATGGAGTGTGGGAAAAGCTTCAGGTGGAGCACTCAGCTGACTTCCCATCAAAGGATCCACACAGGAGAGAGACCATATAAATGCATGGAATGTGGGAAGACTTTCAGTGAGAGCAGTTCTCTTACTTTCCACAAGAGGATCCACACAGGGGAGAAACCATATAACTGCATGGAATGTGGAAAGAGCTTCAGCATGAGCAGTTCACTTACCTACCATAAAAGGATCCACACTGGGGAAAAGCCGTATAAGTGCTTGGAGTGTGGAAAGAGCTTTACGCAGAACATTCAACTTACTTCTCATAAAATGATCCATACAGGGGAGAAGCCATACAAATGCACTGAGTGTGGCAAAAGCTTCAACACAACCAGCAACCTTGCTTGTCACAAAAGAATCCACACTGGAGAGAAACCATACAAATGTATGGAGTGTGGAAAGAGTTTTACTCAAAATATTCAACTCACTTCCCATGTAAGGATTCACACAGGGGAGAAACCATATGAATGTAAAGAGTGTGGAAAGAGCTTTACTCAAAAGATTCAACTTACCTCTCATAAAAGGATCCACACGGGGGAGAAACCATATAAGTGCAGGAAATGTGGAAAGAGCTTCCGTAATAATGGGTCCCTTACTCTTCATGAAAGGATCCACACTGGAGAGAAACCGTATACATGCATGGAGTGTGGAAAGAGCTTCAGCCGGGGCAGTCATTTTGCTTCCCATAAAACAATCCACACAGGAGAAAGGCCACACAAATGCCTCGAGTGTGGAAAAAGTTTCCGTGAAAACACTTCTCTTACTATTCATAAAAGAATCCACACTGGGGAGAAGCCATATAAGTGCTTGGAATGTGGAAAGAGGTTCCGTGAGAATGGGTCATTTACATCCCATAAAAGAATCCATACAGGGGAGAGGCCATATAAATGCATGGAGTGTGGAAAGAGCTTTACGACGAGCAGTAATCTTACATCCCATATGAGGATCCATTTAGGTATGAATGTGTATTTTTAGATTATATATATATAATTATATTTACTTGGCTCCTGAGTATATAATGTATACTCCTGAAAAAGTACTTCCCTCACTGTGAAACTCTGATTGAAAACTCTGGGTGTCCAAAAGGTATGGTCAAAAAAGTACAATCACAACTGCTTGTTTTTTTTGTAAGTCGCACATGAAATGCACATAAAGGCAGAGCTTGTATCACTCAGTTATGGGTGCCCTGTTTTTTAAACTTTTGTCATTTTACAGTCCAGCCATGTGGCACATCAATAAGAGAAAATCCTTTTTTCAGAAATTTGGAGTTGAAAATGCTTGGAATGTCCAGCTTTGCTTCAAAAACCAGTAGAACCACCATTTTGTTCATTGTTGGATAAATTTGAAATTGTGTGCTATTTCAATTCATTGAAATGGTGTGCTCATACAATTAATCTCATATATTGTATCTTTGTAGTTTGTGTCTTATATTTCTAATGAGTTTTTTCTTTTTGTTCCAAGTAAGAGATATGCAGGAGAATGAGAACAAAAAGAAGGCAAGCGTGTTGACATAGCAAATAATGAAACATGAAATGAGAGAAGAGAGATTTGGAAATCACAGTGAATCAAAATAAAGAAAATGGAAATAAGGGATACCTTTCAAAGAACATTGACAGAGATTCTTCATGTCTGAAGATATGGCCCAGATATTGCTACTGATCTGATAAGATCACAGAAGAACAAGAAAAGAACTGCCTTTTGCTGTTATTTTTGGGCAGAACAAAAATCAAAGAGAAATTAGACTCAGCGTGGAACTGAGGCTAGAGAAAACTAGAATGAACAGATAGTACGGAACAATTTTAGTCAACAATTTATTTTTTATTTTTTGTCCCAAGAATCCGCCTGGAGAGAAATCAAGTAAATGTTTGGAGTGTGGAAATTTGCTTCAGGAAGAATTTATAGAATTCCAATGTCTTATATGCATGTGCAAAAGACCTTTCTTTCGAGCAGCCAGCAGGGCCATTTCTGCCTTTCTGTAGTGTGATGAGAGCCAGAACAAAAACTACATGTTAAAACAACATTAAAATAGATATTGGTTTGTTCAGATTAATTGGTTGAGATTAATTTCTGATCATGACTTAATTATTATCTCTCATTTTAGTCACATTGGAAAATGAGATGTGACAAATAGTATAAATGAATAAAATAAATAATTTTTGGAAAGCCATCGGAGCCAGCTCCAAAGGTTTCAGAGTTGACATTGGTTTGAAAGTGTTTTCTCAAAGAATGCTCAGCCACGTTGCTGCTCAGACTAAAAGCCACTGGTTTGTTCAGTATCATCAGCATTTTTATCACACCACATTTCACTGAACATCTTACCTTTCTAGGACTCTGTGTTCACTTGAGATAACCCTTTGAGCATTGCTGAAGGCAGTGAGATTGCAGGGAATGTCTTGCAAGGATAGAGGTTCTGACATGACTGTCTGGTCATGAGAAAGAGGTCATGGGCTTGCATTGAGGAAGAAAAGTGGGAATGCAAAAGTTTCCATTAAAGTGGAAAAACCTAGATCCATTGTTCCCTGCTGTCCTGTTCCCTTCATGCATGGCTCAGGCAAGGGGAAAGCAGACCTCCAGCACTGCCTCCAGGAAAATGTCCAGAATACCCAGGAAGTAGGACATGGGGGAACAGCCCTTCATTTCCATTTTCTGATTCTGCTGTGGTTGTGTTGGATGGTGGTGGTGGTGGTGGGGTGTTGAAAGGAAAGTCCAATGCTATAAAGAGCAACATTGCATATGAACCTAGAAGGTAAAATCTGTGAATCGAGGTAAGGTGGCTGTAATCAAACATGAGAAGGCAAGATTGAACATTGATTATCTTGGGAATCAGTAAACTGGATGGAAATTAGAAACTTTAATTCAGATGACTATTATAAAAAGCATACCTTAAATTTAGTAATAGAGGGGACAAGGATAAAACAGTATCAGAGTATGTAGGAATGACATTCACTGATGGAAAAATGGATGAAAAAATTAACATTCAAAGAAGCATCTCATACAAAGCATATTCACGCCCACTTTATGTTACCAGTGCCAAACATGGACACTTGGAATAAAACATCAGTGAAAGTTAGTCACCATGGAAATGAGATGTTTGAGGAAAGCTGCCAGAGTGACCAGAAGGGATAAAAAAAAATGAGATTATAATAGAATTGGAATAGATCTTAGACTATATATAAAAACAGCAAGTTAAGTGGTTTGTGATTCTATACAAGGCATATACAAAAAGAGAAGGCCGAAGAACAAGAGGTGGACACAGAAGAAGATGGAGAGATAATACCAGACATGTTAAAACTGCATCAAATAATGGTTGAGGCCACCAGAAGTGCAAGAAACAGAACTCTATATCTCAGTAGATTTGAGGGGAGTTTTTCATTTGCTTGGAAGTGTATAAGTAACCAAATGCAGATCTGCAATACCAAGTCTAAAACTGCTGAGGTAAGGTTGCAACATAAAAAACAGGTGGAGTTTCCATCACACGATCATGGTCACCATCTTTGATTTTGCAGCTATGAGTAATATTGACTCCCCGCCCCCACAATCTTTGTATTTTTTTCACCTCTGTCCTTTTGTTCCTTTGATATTTTTTTTTCATATTTAAGCTGCTTCAAATACTTGGTTCTTGGGCCTCTCAGGCAATACATCTCTCTTGAGGAAGCATTTCAGTTCTTCAAAAAATATGGATGATCTTGATGTATTAGATCAAAATGTTAGGTTCATATAAGCTGCCATCTTCTGATTTTCTCCTTTTCAAAGAATTCCTCTACACTCAGTGAATGAGGGCCTTTTCAAGTTTAATTTGGTGCAATTTCTGAGGTAAAATTTTGAGATGGGCCTTTCTTCGTGTGTGTGTGTGTGTGTGTGTGTGTAATTTTATATATATACATACACATGTATGATGTATGTATATGTTCATATATATTCTCAAGGTCTCTTCTTTAAATATTTCTCTTCAGGGTTTTAATCTTCAGGGATCATCCCTTGACCCCCACACTCAAAGACCACCATCTCTCCGTCCCACAAATCTGTGGTGCCTTTTCAGTAAAATGGTTTATTCTTCAAAATACTCGCTGAGGGAAATTTTCGGCAAGTCCCGGGCCAGGGAAGTTCATGAAGAAGCGCTCTTATTTTACAAGAAGAAAAGCATCTTTTTTTTAGGTGGCACTTCTGGAAACCTGCCTCACATTTCTCCTCCTCCTAGAGTCTAGAGAACTTAACTTCCCCTTTAGTTTAAATGTCCGGTCCCTCAAGGACCCCTTTTAACGGTCGCTTCTTCTAACGGTCTCTTCAGAGGGGGCGGAGCTCCCGGGCTCGCCCCTCGGGGAGGAGCGTCCAGCAGGGGCGGGGCCATTAGCTTCTACCAGGGTCACCAATCCTGCTGGCCCGGGATGCGGCGCTGTCGGGGACCGATGGCTCTCTTGCGCGGCATCCAAGAGCTGACCGAGGTCCCAGGCCCGGCTACGACGGGACGGAGGCACGGGAGGAAGCCCGGCGTGGCGGCGCTGCGGGCGGCGCTGCTGGGACTGACGGCGGAGCTGGAGAGAGCGGAGGGACCGGGCCTGCCCGGGGATGCCGCACTCGCTGTGCAGCTCGCCCTGGAGGCGCTATTGGAAAAGCGGCCTCGGGAGGCTGTCCGAGCGCTGCTGCGGGAGGAAGGGCGCGCTCGGCCGAAGCGGCTGATGGTTCTGATCCAGGCCCTGCAGGAGGAAGGCTGGGCCGAGCGAGGGGACGAGCTGCCCCTGCAGGAGCTGCGCCCGCTGCTGGAGAAGGCGCTGCGCCTGGTGTGCAAGGAGAGGAGTTGGCCGGCTGGTGACCTGAAAAGAGCTCTTTGGATAGGCCCGCTGGAGGAGGAGGAGGATGCTCAGAATGGGACCTTGCCAGAAACCTCTTTGGAGGGTTCAGGACTGAGGCTCAGGTCCCCCCAAGAGTTGCCTGTAGGAAGAACCCCAAAAGACCCTCACCAGGATCATCTTGTGCCAGGAAAGATTGTGCCCACTGACTTAAAGCCTCACCTTCCAAACGAGGCGGCGTGTGGACTGCAGGTGGAAATGGACGCTCCCTCTTTGAAAGGGACCCAATGGAGGATAACAGAAGACCTTCTTAATGCCTTTCAGGAAGCCACGCGGAGGAAGATGGGTGCTCTGTCCTGCTCCTTGTGGGACCAGGGCCCCCGGAAAATATGTAGCCATCTCCACCAGCTTTGCCGCCAGTGGCTTCAGCCAGAAAAGAAGACAAAGGAGAAGATGCTAGATCTCTTGATCTTGGGGCTGTTGGTGGCTCTCCTGCCTCCAGAGATGGAAAGCTGGATCCGGGAATGTGGAGCAGAGACCAGCTCCCAGGCGGTGTCCCTGGCTGAAGGTTTTCTCCTGAGCCAGGCAGAGGAGCAGAAGGGGCAGAGAGAGATGCAGGTGAGAAACCTTCACTTATCAAAAGCAAGATGGAAACTCAAAGAATGACCATATGTTGAGATACCACCGTGTTGTGAATATACTAACTAAAGAGATGCTTATTTTATTTTATTTCTTAAGAAAATTTATATGACATCCCACTCAAAGTGACTCTGGGCAGCTCACAGAAATAAAAGAAATAAAAAAAAAACACCAATAAACCCCGACATGCCCCTGGGAACAACAACCATACCAACCATTCTGTATCACCCTGGAGTCCTTAGGCTCCACTGACTTCCTTAAGAGATGAAATCCATAAAACATATCCTGTTTTTCGAGTGGTGGGTTGAGTAGATGTAATTAGTAAAAGAGAGTCCTTCAAATAATCTGGCACCAGCCCATGAAGGGCTTTAAAGATGACAACCAGTACCTTGAATTGAGCCTGGAACCAAATTGGCAACCCATACAACTCTTTCAAGAGAGATGATACCTGTGCACCTAAACTTGCACAAAATCATGCGGGCTGTTGCATTTTTAACCAAATTGAAGCCTCTGGATAGAGTACTTTTCAAGGGCGGCCCATGTAGAATGAATTGCAATAGTTAAGAGAGAGTTGGTGACTGAGCAGGGCTTGTTGGTCCAGGAAAAGACATTACTGACAAGTAACCAGCAGTTCACAAAGGCGCTCCAGGTCATGACTCATGACTGCCATCTGCTCTTGGAGCAGGAGTTGCAGATCCAGGAGAACCCCCAGATTATGTACCAAATCCACTTGGGGCACTGAAATCCCACCAAGCCAAATATGGCAATTCTCTATGGATCAAAGAATCCCAAATCCAAAGTCATTCGGACTTGCCAAGGTTCAGTTTCAGCCCATTGCTGCCTATCCAGTCCTTAACAGCCACTTAACAATTTAAAGCCTAAGACAAATTATTCCATTGAGTAGACAGAATCTGCTTCTTTTTTGTAAGATCTCCTATTTGCTGTTCTTTGTTTCTCCAGGTCCACCAAGTCCAGAGTTCCAACTTGAAGTCAGTCTCTGAAAATTCCAAGGAAAGGAAGGATCTGCCAGATCCTTTCCAGGAGCTGCTCCTTAAAGGGATCTCCCATGAAGATCAAAGGCATAACACCTCCAGTAAGATAAGTTTCTTCAAAAAGAAGGCACTTTATTGTTCTTTGGGCTGTATTTGCAGAATGCAAATCTCAAATGTCAGTAATTCTGTTTATAAAAGATGCCACTTATGTTTATCTCGTAGGGAATGAAAAGTCGGCATTCCTAAGTGGTTCTCCTTTTTCTGGTGGAGTTGAAAGACCAGTTGAACTTCTGACTCAGGTAGGAATGAAATGTCAGACAGGATAGAGACATTGGTTGGAGATCTCTTGTTATATGCTCTACGTGTGATGTTGCTGGTTCTGAGCTACGTGAAATTAGGATTCAGCTTGCTGGTCAGTAATGCTTACCCTAGCTCCCCTCTCGACACTGATGTGGGTCTGACAAGAAGCCAAAATTGGTCATCTGAATGTTGATAAAGGTAAAGGTTCCCCTTGCACTTATGTGCTAGTCATTTCTGGCTTTAGGGGGGCAGTGCTCATCTGTTACAAAGCTGAAGAGCCAGCGCTGTCCAAAGATGTCTCCGTGCTCATGTGGCTGGCATGACTAAATGCCGAAGGCGCATAGAACGTCGTTACCTTCCCACCAAAGTGGTCCCTATTTTTCTACTTGCATCTTTACATGCTTTCGAACTGCTAGGCTGGCAGAAGCTGGGACAAGTAATGGGAGCTCACTCCATTACACAGCGCTAGGGATTCTAACCGCTGAACTGCCAACCTTTCTGATCGACAAGCTCAGCGTCTTAGCCACTGAGCCATTGTGTCCCCTATCTGAATGTTGATAGCACCTCGCAAATCAAATCCTTTTGGCGAGCTCTTTCCACACTTTTGTAATATTGTTGGGGGGGTGGGGTGGGGGGTGGGCAAGATTAATTCCCAGGGAGTCCTTGCAATGTATCAGCTAAAATGTTAGAAAAGATCCCACCAGTATGTCCTCCTGCAGTTGACATGTAGAATGAGAATCAGTCAGAGGCTCTCCGTGAATTGATCCAGAAAAATATTGTCTGCATTCACAAAAGGACCCTGGCAGTCCTGCATACTCAGGATACTTCATACACTGGCCATTTCCAACCAACTACAATAAAACGAACATAATTAAAATAGAGTACAATACAG